CTGTAGCTATTCATGAAGAGTTATCAGATAGGTTTTGCTCCCTTTTTTAAAGCATAGCAACTATAAGTCTATCTGATGAAATCTGGTTCACTTTTTATGTGCCAGACTTAAAATTAGTTTTATGGATGGGATTTTGCCCCAACAAAAGAATAGCATAGTGTAACACACTGATTTGTTTAACAATGAAAGAATTAGTGGCCTACTTGCTGTGATAGTTGACATTAGAATTTTACAGTGGGTCGGTGTGAGTAGCCCTGAAAGTGACAGCTACATCTAAACCTGAGGTAAACCAAGCCGTTGTGCCTAGTCAGGCACATTAACCTCTTGTGGCCCAGACTTGTCTGAAGGTGGATCCCTGAACATTCACGAGAGGCCTCCAAAGAGTGTGAGAACACACTTCTGTTAGAATTGCTTTTCCTTGCTAGCCTGTGACTTCACAGGTTTTTCTGACCTATGATTTTCAGGTCATAATAGGTGTTTTGAGTAGTTCTTTTGCCCCTCAATGGCCCTGCTTTACTTCCCAGAAAGAACTGTTTATTAGAAAATCAGTAGTAGGCCTTATAAGTGTGCCCCAATACACAGGCAATTTGTACAAGATCAGCCTTGATAGTTCTGCAAGTGTTGCCATTAGTAGAATACTTTCACCAAATAAATTTTCTCAGAGTAATTTCTCTTATCAGTGTCTCTTCTCTCCCTTTTCTAATACCCTTGCGGAGAACTAGAACAAATTCTCTTGCTGAACATCTTGGCTTCACTTCCCATCTTCTTCTTACTTGCCAGCCAGCTGCTGCCTTGTTTAAGCTCTGTGCTAAATACTTACCTTACTTACTGTTACTCTCTGGGCATAAATCAGTTTATTAGATTCATTCTCATTCTGAGCGTAGGAGTAAACTGAATAAGCAATATAGGAAAAAGTTAATTTGGGGCGATGTATGTGTTCGCCCTAGTTTTTGCTTTGTCATGGATAGTTTCTTCATAGAATTTAGCTCTTTTGCAAGTTATCAAAAACTCAAGGTTCTGAAGTAATAGATCTTTGTTGTAAGAGTGATCAAACTTTAATTTGTAAAGGAGCATTCTCCAAGTCATGTT